CTGTGACTTGGGAAATGTCACACCACTTCTGGGAGCCTCGGCTTCCTTATCTGTAAAGTTCAGACAGTCAGTTCCTTGCAGGCTACGGTAAGGATCGGATGAGATAGTGAACACGCCCAGGATGGGTCTGGCACCCAGGAATTGCCCAATACGGGGTCACTGTTGTTCTTGTTGCCATTATTAATAGAGTAAGAGATCAGAAGTGGATGGATTGTTGGGCTGGGGAGTTGGAGAAAGCTTTCTGGAAGAAAGGGAATTTCAAGGGGCGGGCTAGACAAGTTGGGCTGCGGAGAGATAAGAGGGAGATTAGTGTAAATATGTGTTGGGCTACCTTCGAAGTACAGTTTCCATGGGACAGGAAAAAATCACACCGTAAATAGGAAGACAGTTTGCCGTGATGTTATGGGAAAAGAGAAACGGTCCAAGCCGAAGCCAGCTGCCGATGACTCAGGCGTCCCTCACATCCTCTGCGAAAGGATGCGAGTCCCAACATCCGCAGAGTCACGTCTGTTGAATAAAACTCAGCACCTATTCGGGGATTTGGCAGCAAAGATGGGTTTGTGCACCAAATGGTTTATGTCTCTCATTTCTGCCTGGCACGCAGGCAGCGCTGCCCGGACTGTCACTCCGCAGGTCACAGAGGAGAGTTTCAGTGGGAAAGCAGAGAGGTGGGTGGATAAAACACGTGGGGCTTGACGGTGATGAATCCTGGTTCGCTTGAGCAGGTAGACACTTTAAATCTCTCATCGCTGGCGGCAGCGGGACTGAGAGGGTGCAGAGAAGACCGCAGGGGTTGGGATCACACCCTCACCGATGTGTTTATTGAGCATTTAGTTACGGGCGCTGTGTGTTCCCTACCTGTGACGTGTCCGGAAGGCACCGATAATGCCTGTGTCTCAGGCAGGCTTTTGGAATCTGTTTGAGCCCCTCCACTGGCCATGCCCAGGCATCCGTGCATAAATGCCCTGGCTTTCTTCCCTCCTTCCTCCCCTCCCCCAACCCCCCGCACCGGCTAACACAGTTCTGAGGTGTGTTCTCTACTCTGAGGGTTCCAGGTGGGATTGTCCTTAGGCTCCTCGGACACATCCCTTCACAAACACTGCGTTTCAGCTTCCTTTGGGGTGGTTGTGCAGGTGACATGAGATACCACCACCACGCATGCCCTTTATCCATTGACTCCTGGGAAGCAGTCGTTTTGCTCAGTGCTTTAGCTGCCTTCCCTTACTGATGCTCACTCGAACTGGATGAGGCGAGAACTTGAGTTATCCCAACTTTTGTGACGAGGGAAGGGAAGCAGGAAAGGATACAGAACTCACCAACGAACCAGGATCTGAGGTCTAACCCAAGGGCCTTTGTTCTGAGGGCCAACTTTTAATAATAAGACAGAAGGTTATAGTGTAGGGTCTAGCAAGAAAGCTGTTGGTGTTATCGTTGGTGTTACTGCTATTGGCATTATTAGCAAGTGCCCAGCATACAGTAGGTGCTCCATATTTGCTGAGTTAAAAAGGCAGTGAATGGATGGCTGTTATTTCCTTGAGATCATGAATATCCTTTTGTTATTGGTCCTCCTTCAGGCATCTAGAGGAGTCCCTGCCCTAGGATTGGTACAAGGCAAATACTTGTTGAAAGATTGATTGAATGAATGAATACAAATGGATTTTTCTTAGTTACCGGTAGTTCCCTGGTTCTATGAAAATCATTTTAATTGAAATGCATTATTTATTTCACCCTGACAAAGTCCCAGAAAGGAAATAGCCTTAAAATCCTAACAGTATTTATCTCTAGGTGTTGGAATTATAAAATACTTTAGCTTCGCGCCTTACTATTCTTTGTGATGGACCTGGATTACTTAACTGGAAATAAATTATCTGTTTGGGGGAAAAAATCAGTCTCAAAGTATAAATGGGTCCCAAAGCAATGGGGTGCGATCCTGACGCGTGCGTAGAAGCTGATCTCATTTGAGTGGCCTCAGTCTCGGGAGCATGGTGTGAGCTGACTTTAGTGTCACCGCTCACACAGCTCTTTCACACCATCTTCCGGAGGTTCACACCTGTCTAGTGACGAAGGTGGGCTAAGGTTAGCAGCCTCGTCTCACAAACCTCGGGACCTGAGAGCTGAAGAGGTTTACCACCCAGGCCATGGCTCTGCTCAGGGCGGAGCTGGATTGGAACCCAGAGCATCCGACTTCAGTTCAGCCCAGTGGCCCCTGCACTCAGTCCTGGGAGCCTCTCATGGAACGAGGGGGTGGGGGAGCGTGAACCAGGGACTCATGGGACAGCTGTCTCTGAGGATCTGCAAGACCCTTTTATAGAGGGAGAGCCTGGCTGGGACTCTCTGAGTTGGACAGCCTGGGTTGGATCCCACTTCTGTCACTCAGTGTCTGGACACAGTACAGCACTCCTCGGCCTCGATTTTCTCATCTGTAAAGCTGGTCCAGCGTCTGCCTTGTGGGGTTGCTGTGAGGGCATCACACCTGTGCTCTCTGTGTGCCAGGCTTCCGTTTCTTCCAGCCCACGTGGATGCTCATTGGTGCCCGTCAGTGACACCAATGCCCATGTGTATTAGTCCATTTCTGCCAAGTAACAAACACTGCAGAATTGCACTGGCTTGCTTGAGGGTGTATTTACTTTCTTGCCCGTGGTTCCGTGGGTCACTTGTGGTTTGGCGGGTCTTCGTTGGCCTGGGCGGGCACAGGCTGGATTCCAGGGTGGGTTCAGATCTGTCCCCCCGTCACGCATCAGTCTGGGGTCCAGAGTGAAAGGCAGCAGCGGACAGGGGCTAGGGAGACATACTCTGCCCATCGTAGGAGAGCGATGGAAGGGACCTGGGACCCACACATTGGCACCTCCCCCTCCATTGGCTAAGCAAGTCGGATCCAGTCCAGAATCCAGGGGGACAGAGAAATCACCACCAGTTGTGGGAAGTGCTGCGAAGTCCATGACAAAGGGGATGGAGTGAGGAGTCAGGAGAGTGACCCAGCCTCAGCTTGTGCACGTGGGTGAGGCAGGGAAGGCAAGAGGCATAGTGGCTGGGAGAGGCTTGGACTGTTTTTCAGTGACAGGGCCTTACTTTTCGTAGCCGTGTGCTGGGTAAAGTCTTGCCCAGGAGGTGAATGTCACAGGAAGGTCACGGTCTGCGATTCTCCTGGGGAGCACACTGTGTTGATTACTTAGCTTAGCAGGAGGTTTGGAAATTGGGAAATGTGAGTCCTCCAACATTGTCCTTCCTTCTCAAGATCGTCTGGCTCTCCCGAGTCCATCACTTTTCCATATGAACTTTGGGAAAAGACTGGCAGTACCCCATCTAATTTAAATCCGTGATTGACACTGTCATTCAAAGATTCAGTCAGTCACCATGGGCATCTAAGTTTGAAAGAAGTGGTTCAATCATTTATCTGACAAATATTTGTTAATATTGTGGAAGGCAATGTGTGATGAAAGTACAGGAGTTAACTAGGAAAAGAGGGTGAGTGCGGGAGCCTCCCAGGAAAAGGAGATGGCATGTGCAAAGGACCTGGGGCAGAAGAGCCGTGGCAGGTTCCAGGATCTGAAAGAAGGTCATGTGTCTGCAGCAGTGAGTCCGGGTGGACAAGCAGAAGCCAGACACGTGGGCAAGAGTCAGACCTTGTTCAGTGATTTGGGTTTTTATGCTAAAGCACTAAGAAGCCACTGGAAAATATTAAGCTGGGGGTGGGAAGGTGGGGAATGACAGTCAAATTGGTGTTTTCAATTTTTCATTCTGCTTATCATCCAGTTATAAGGTGTGAACCTCGTTTGGATCTGGATTTTTAAAAACGAGTGTTAAATTTTTTAACATTCATGAGACTATTAGAAATTTGAACATTGAGTGGTGAATTGAGGAACTACTTTTTTAGGTATGACAATGGTATTGCAGTTATATTTTTTATAAAAGACCTTATTTTAGCCATACATGCTGTACTCTATATGACTAGAATAATAAGATGGCTGGAATTTTTTTGAAATAATAATGTTGGGAGGGAGGATTAGGGTACGGATGAGGTTGGACAGATTATGAATTGATGGTGATTGGGGCTGGGTGGTGGGTACATGGGGTTCTCGGTACTCTTTATTTTTGTGTTTACAAACATCTCCATAATAAAACATACATAAAGAAAACAGTCATTCTCGCTTCCGTGTGGGGGACCAGCTTTCCGAAGAAGAAATCAGTTAGGCAGCTGGAGCGGCCCCGGTGAGGATGAGGGAGGGATGGTGGTTTGCTCCAGGGCTGTGCCAGTGGAGACTGAGAGAGGGAGATGGGCTGAGAGATCCTTCGGGGAATTAGGGAGACAGGGCGTGGGGATGGATTGGATACAGGGGTGACGGAGATGGCGGGTCAGGAGTGTCCCTGTGTCTGGCCCCAGATGGAAGAGCCGGGGATCTGAGGTGGGGCTCAATGGAGGAGGACCCCGCAGGTCCCTTCGCTCATCTTGTTCCCACAGCCCCGCCTCGACTTCCCATCCATCCTGCGAATCGGAAGCGGTCCCCTTATGCAACACCTTTCATCCCAGACTTCCCGCACTCTGCAGGCTCAGCAGTTAATTAAGCTTGGATATGCATGCATTAATTAAAATCCTCTCTCGGGTTCGGAGGGGCTGAAATGTGGATCTTCATCTCTATCTCCCTCCTTGCTGGGGCTGGTTCCCTTTGCTGGGGACACCTCTGCTCTCCTATGGGCACACAGCTGTCTGTCTGTCTGTGGCACCTGTCAGCACCCTTTCATTTCTTGTTTAGGAGCCTGGGTCTAGGGAAGTTAATGACTTGTAAATTGCTCTGCACTGTAGAGCTAGAAATAGAACACAAGATGATGATTCCCGAGCCCTCGCGCGCACTGAGCGATGGCGGTGTCAGCCCGAGCGTGGCTTGCTGCAACGCGGCCGCCTGGCTGTGTCCCTGCACATGCCTGGGCAGCCCCCCACGCGGGGAGAACACTCCCGAGACGCTGCTCTGCCCAGGCCCCTGGATGACTCTTGTCCCTTTCTCCCTGCCCCCTGCAGGTCGTCTTCTGGTGCGTGTGACACCTGAGACATGAGATCGTCAGCCTGCAGGCTCTCCAGTTTTTCGAGAGACACACTATGGAATCGGTGAGTGGTCTCAGCCCCCCTGCCGGAGGGCCCGGCCTGGGGAGTGAGGAGGGATTCTTTGGGGGGCGGGGGGGCGTTGAAGTGCACAGTGTGACCCAACTCAAGCCTTGGATGTGAGTATCACGGTGAACAGATTGCTGGGGGGTACTTGTCTAACTGTCGACTTACCCAAGTGCCTCGGGTCACCTGACCTGTCTCCTTTATGCAGAAGGAAAGGTGGGAGGCGGTGGCACCAGAATGAAGTCAGAAGTAGGAGCAGCCAGGACCCCGCCAACAATAATGGGCACTCTTCTAGCCGAGTGGCTTTTCAGAAATATTCCCTCCTCAGTCCACCCAGCGCGCCCACCAGGCCTGAGTGATGCCGTTCATTTTCACAGATGAAGTACGTGCCGAGCTGGATCTGAAGTCAGTTTGTCCTGACTCCAGATCTCCAGCCTTTCCCTCGATGCCAGGCTGCCTCTTGGTAGAAGTATGAATTGCCCCATTTTGCAGCTGGGAATACTGAGTGTAGGGACACATGATGGAGTCTAAGGACTCTGACCTCAGTGGGTGGAGGTCTGGGTTAGAAGACGAAAAAAATTACACTGGACAGGAAGATCCATGAAAACTAGGCAGAGGAAGTGCATGGAGCCTGAAAGGGTCTTAAAGTCACCAGGGCACCCCACACAGGGTTGAAGTGCTGTGGCTGGTCTTCCCCGGGAGTCAGTTGTGGGTAGAAAGAGTATGGGTGCTGGAGGGGGCTCTGCCACCAACATTCCATCTGAACTCAGGTAAGTCGCTAACCTTCTCTGCACCTTCTGTTTTCTTATCTATGAAAGGCGGTGATTTTTATTTTTCACGTTTTGTGTGCATAAAAAAAGGTATACAGCATAGCATCTTCTATAAAGTAGGAACATAAAGTATTGTAATTATTCAAGTTTTAGGAGAAAAGCAATTTTTAAGGATAATTAGCCCAGCAGAAGTGCCCAGAATGGATGGGAGAGGTGAGTGGCCGGAGGGAGGGAGACCATCCTGAGAGGCTGTGACAGGGGACTGTTACCACCTTCCAGGATGAATGAACTGCTTATCTTCAGAGATTGGCGTCTACAGGGTTACCTGGAGTCATATCGTATTTGGTTTTGTTTTTTAAATCAAGAGTCCAACACAAAGGTGACATTGATCTCGCAGGTGTCTCTTTTGGGGACGTGAATTATAATTGCAATAACTCAGCGCATGACTCAGGATGAGGTTTTGCTCTGAATGGTGTAAAATCTAAAAGAACATCGACTTAAAGAAGATACAGGTCTATTTCTCTCTTACCTAAACATGCAGACACAGGTGGTGCAGGGCGTCCAGCGCTGTCTGCGAGACCCCGGCTTTCCTGGCGCAGGTGGGCAGTAGTGCCTTGCACAGGGAGTACGGGAGGCAGGTGGGGGGAGGGGGGGGTTCCGGAGGTTCCGGGTGCCAGTTACATGGGGTAGAAGTTAATTCCTTGAATGGGATACTTATGACATAGACAATTTTATGTACAGTAAGTCCTCACGTACCATCATCTTTGAGTTCTGCAACTTTAAGCAAAACAACATATAACAAAACCAATTTCATCATAAGCTCATTAATGCAAATAAGGGTCAAGTACCGGCAGCATCTCATTGATGTCCTAACAAAATGACGTTAACCGAGGACCTACTATATATATATGTATTTGTATTATATGTCAATATAATATATATACATATACATATACATATATTATATAATACGAATACAGCAAACCCACACTCCCTTAACTATGACAAAAAGCCCAACACCTTTATCTCAGATGTTTCTTTCTTTGTTGGCTCATCCCTATAATATAGGTCAAGCAATTGCTTATTACTTATGTGTGAGGAGCTGAGCTAGGGTGCTTGGCACACATGATGCCAGCAGCAGACAGGGCCCGTCCTCAGGGGACTTTCTGTCTAGAGGAAAAGGACAGATGTCAATCATACAGATTGACAGCCACTGGCCGAGGCTCCGTGTGGGACGCCCTGGGGCACCTAGATCCAGCCAGGCGAGTAACTTCGATTTGCATCTCCCCCTACTCCGTGATGGGAGAGGAGGTGCAGCGCCAGTGGGTGAGACTGTAGGCGCAGATGGCTCCTTCCCTCTGGTCTCCGGTAACCGGCCCAGGGAAGGGGTCAGCTTCTCCTGCCCTTGTTGGTCACTGTGACAGACCCCGACCTCCACCTGGCGTCCCGGGAGCACCAGTGCTGGAGCTCGGAGCTCCGAGCTGAGAAGGGGAACCCACAGGAGCAGACAGAGACTTGCTCCACCATCAAGGCCAAGTCCAGGGGCCTCTTGCGTTGTTAGGCTATTAAAATAAGTGCATGCATGAATGAATGAATGGTTGACGGAATGAATGAATGAAGGAATAAAATCACAGCCACAACCATGCAGTTGTCATCCCTGGGGAAGCTCAAGGTGCTTCCGTTATTCACCCAAAATGCTACCAGGCCCAGGAGAGGCGGGGGATGAGCCGCAAACGGAAACGGGATTGAATTCCGAGCCAGCAGGAGAATTCAGTTGGCCTTATTTTTAGGGATTTTCTCTGCAGGTAGAAACGAACTGACCTGAACTTTAGACGCGCCCACACCAAGCCCAGGAGCTACCGCTGTGACTGCCCCCGCCCCCCGCCCCTCCACTGCCTTTGCCTTTCCCAAGGTCAAGGCGGACGCCCTGTCATTAGTGTGCCGCCAGCTGTCAGCCAAATTGAGTTTCCCTGAGCACAGCTGATGTCCCTCTTTGGCCGCAGGACAGGGGTCAGGGAGTGAGCACCGCACATGGACGGGAAATGTGTCCCTTGCGCTGACCTCTGAACTCCGAGCTGCGTTTCTGACATTGTTGGGAGGGCTGGGTGGGAAGCCTGTGACTTCTGGATGCACTAGTAGAAGGAAAAGAAACGTGTTTTAGAAAAAAACACTAATATTCCAGTTCTACCGAGAACGCACATTCACTGTAATTGAGGCTGTTTGAAATCCAGCCGTAATTCCAGGGCGTCGGCTGTTCCTCAGTCTGATGCGGAGAGGAAGAGACTTCTGCCCGGACAGATTGGGAAAGTGTGGTGGTTCGGGTTTGTTTCCTGCCGGCCTTCCTCCCTCCCTTAGCCTTCAACGCGTATGGAGCAGCGCCCATGTGCCACACCCTGGACGCCAGGAAAACAGATGAGTGGGGCTCATTACAAAGCCTTCCTGAGCTGCTCTCCTTTCATTTCATTTTATTTTTTATTGTTTAAAATGTATTTTTATTGATTTCAGAGAGGAAGGGAGAGGGAGAGAGAGAGAGAGGAACACTGATGATGAGAGAGAATCATGGATCAGTTGCCTCCTGCACACCCTCCACTGGGGATCGAGCTCACAACCTGGGCATGTGCCCTGATGAGGACTCGAACCGTGACCTCCTGGTTCATAGGCCAAAGCTCAACCACTGAGCCACGCCGGCTGGGCTGTCCTTTCATTTTAAAATGTTTGTTCTACAAATGTGTATTGAGCATCTAATTCGCTCCAGTCTCTGAGTAGAGACCAAAGACAGTCCCTGCTCCTGCCGAGTTTATACGTTATTAATTGTTTTTCTCGCTCACTCAGCAAACACTTTCTGGGCACCTGCAGTGAGCCAGGGATGGGGCCAGCTGCTGGGATGCCGAGATGAGCAGAGCGTAGCCTCTGTTTCAATGGGGCTGAAGGATGAGACAATATTGTGCTTGTCTCTTAGGGCCCCAGGAACTAAGTAGTGCGGACTCAGTGGCTTAATCGAAATGTATTGTCTCGTAATTCCGGAGGCTGGGAGTCAGGTTCTGCTGTTTTCCCATCGAAGAGATGAGCTCACGGGGGTTGGAGAGCTGTAGGAGGCCCGTGGCTGGTAACTGGCAGGAGTGGGATTCAGTTGCAGGGAGTCTGGTCCTGGAGCCTAGAATTCCCACTGTCCTTACCCATTACGATAATGTCCCTAGGGCCTAGGCCAGTAATGGCGAACCTATGACACGCATGTCAGAGGTGACACTCAAACTCATTTTTTTGGTTGATTTTTCTTTGTTAAATGGCATTAAATATATAAAAGAAATATCAAAAGTATAAATCTTTGTTTTACTATGGTTGCAAATATCAAAAAATTTCTATATGTCACACGGCACCAGAGTTAAGTTAGGGTTTTTAAAAATGCTGACACGCCGAGCTCAAAAGGTTTGACATCACTGGCCTAGGCCCTAAGGAAAGCCTTTAAGATAAGCCCCCCCCCAACCCCCCCACCAATCTCAAAGCTTTGGGATTATTCTACAATCCACTCGGCTTCCAGGAGGCATTTGACACAGCTGACGATTTCTCCCTCTGGCAGCCCACCCGGATTTCTCCTTGGGACTCTGCCCTCTGTCTCGGTCTCAGAGTAGGGTGCCCCTCCCCCCAGACAACTCCAGATGTTGTTGAAGACCCTCTGTAGGCTGACTCCTTCCAGATCCGACCTCCAGCTACACCTGCCCTCTGAGTTCCAGACTCAGTGCCCCACATGCCTGATTATACTCCATCTGGAAGTCCAGCAGGCGGCTCCAGCTTATACACCCACCGTGGGTGTTTCTCCCAACATCTCCTTCATGAGACGCTAGGCCTCTGCTGGAAGCCACCCGTGTCCCAGCACCGCTGCCGCCTCACTTCCAAAGAAGCCCAGATTCCTCACTGCGGCCTGTGAGGGCCAGCGTGACCCAGCCCTGCTCCCTTGTCTGCCTGCCTCTTCCTGGCCTCGGGACTCTGCCTCGTGTAGCTTTCTCCCTGCACCTCCTGTCCCCCTACCCCCTGCTCCCCACAGGAGCGACACCCTTCTTATGTAGTCCCAGCCTCAGTTTCCTCAGGGACCTTCCCTCCCCACCCCATCGCCTCCGTGGGCCGCTTCCTAGCCCTCGTGACAGTCTGGAATCATTTGTGTGTTCACTTGGGCTTGTCTATGCCCTGCCCCCGCTCCCCCCCACCTCCCCACCGCCAACCACAAGCTCCCAACAGACAGTGGTGGTGACTGCTTGTCCACTAACGTTACCCTGGAGCCTGGCCCAGAGCCTGGCATGTAGTGGATGTTCAGTAACTACATGTGATTGTTAAAATCAAATCAGTGGCCCCTGCTAAATCGATTATGAACATAAAAGGCCAATTCCAGGCCTGTTACTTGTACAAGAACCCTTTCTCAAGCAAGGCGGGACTGAGGCGGGCCTGCAGGTGACTGAGAATTGGGTGGAAATGAATAAACAAAAACAAACTCATTGTACAGACCACCAGATGGTGGGTACTGGAGGGGAAGGGAGACGGAGAGAGGGCAGATGTATGGCGATGGCGGGAAGTTAGCCTTTGGGTGGTGAGCACACTAGA